TACTTATATTTTTTTTACAATTATGAATTATTACAATTATTATTATTTTTAAAATCATTAAATTAAATTAGATAGACAGCTTCATATAAATTATATATTATATAATATAATAAAGAGTTAATACGTATGACAGTATTATAATATGATATAACTGTTATTAGATTGATAACTTATAATATTCCTAGTGTAGGAACTTACACGTGTACCTTTTTTTGCCGTGTAGGAACTTATACGTGTACCTGTTTTTCGTCGTGTAGGAACTAACATAGGTACCTGTCTTCCGCCGTGTAGGAACTAACATACGTACCTTTTTTTTTTCGTGTAGGAAATTACACATCACATATGTAGAAATTAACGTATGTAATTGTCTACCTGTTACTCTCGTGTAGGAACTTACGATTCCCCATTTGGAATAGCATTTTTAAAATTACAACTAAAATTCRGTGATATTTGGGAAATTTAAGTTAATTTGACCATAGGTTATAACTGGAAATCTTACTACAAAGTACAAACATAATGAAATTATTGTATAATAAAGGAATTAACTTTTTATTATTAATATTTGTAATGTCAAATTGTACTGGTTTAGTACAAAATCCTTAATTGTCATAGCTAGAGTTCAAATTAAATAGACCATTATTAATAGCAAAACTTACTTAAATGAAAATATCTTATATAACATCAACATGTAATCCTTCTTTACTAATAAAATTAGCAAAATGTACTTATGAAATTGATTGGTTTAGTTGAAAAATCTCACTATTAATAGCTAAATACTGAATAATGAATGTTTAATTCTATTAAATTAATTGAGTATTTTCAAATTGAATAATTGAAAAATTATTACATAATATAATAATACAATTATTTTAGTTTGAATTCTATTAGTCACGATGTATTACTCAAACTTAACTGTATATGGCATAAAATGAGTATTTATGACTATACAATCATATAGACACAATAATGATACCATCGATAATCATTATTCATTAGTGCATTTCCGATAAGACAACAAATTTAACACTATCGAAATAAAAAAAAAAAAACAAAAGCAAATACAAATACAAAAGTTACGTTAAATATAATGGATAACAGATGTACTTATTATATTGGATACTTATGACCTTAACTTATACTAGAGATAAGAAGATATACCTCAAATTATTATGATAAGTATTACTTAAAAGTATCAACTAAAAGATAACTTAGGCATTAGTAATTAATTTACGGCCAAAATTATGTTTATATATTTATTTAATTTTAATTTTTTATAATTYAAATATCTTGCTTGTTATTGTTTACGAACAGTAAGTGACCTATCAAAAATATTTTGCGATCAATAGATTAGAAAACMCTGGCTTAGAGGATTTAAGCTTTAGATCCTCTTCGCTAACTGTTTTTGAAAGTTTTATTAAAATTATGCATTTAGAACTTTGAATTTAAACTCTCTGTGTATATTTCTATATACGATAAAAAATAATTTTAGTAATTRCTTTCTCGCATTACTGCGYATGTCGTATGTGGTCACCGTCGTTTAGGGAAATTGAGTYACTAGCAACAGATTTAATTCTAAGTAAATAACAATAACATAATAACAAAATATAGTTACTTCATAATTTACAATATGAATATAATCAATAACAACTCATTCAGAAGCACATATTAGTTGAAGCTTTTTTTTGTTCCTGGTAATTCACTACTTAGGGGCCGTACTGTTTTCACATTGCTTAGCCCCATATTAGGTTGAAGCTAGTATATCCTATACTAACACTATAACAATTGATGCAAATATAAAATATTATAACAAATGCATTTTAATTTCTAAGTGATTTTGCGAATTTATTTTTTTTTTCAAAATATTATGTGTTTTTCGTTGATTAAATTTTCTTTGGAAAATATGTTCTATGAAAACTTCAAAACTTCAAAATCATGTTTTTCAACTTTAAAATACCAAAAAATTAATACACAGTAAATCGTTAAAAAATAATCAAAAAAAATACTTTTTTTAAATGAATTTAGACCAATAACTTATTTCCTATACTTTTAATAACACGATTGTGTATAAACTTGATATCYCAAAGCAGTGTTGTATTTATGGGGAAGGGGGTCCAGAGCTACTGCACGCGTTCCTCGTTAACTGTATCTAAATGTATATATTTTATCTATTATTAAAGAAAGTATAAGTTTTAAAATTGTGATTATTTATTTGTTTTTTTAAGTGTATAAGTTTGACTACTTATTTAGTGTATATTTTTGCTCACTGCCTCCAACCAACCATTTTTTATTTCTGAACACACCTCAGTCTCCAAGCAGAAGTTGAAATCAGATTTTTAATACTGGTTAAAGCCGCCAAAAATAGAAATAGATTTAAAAACCGAAAGCGTTATCGAAAAATGTCAATACCAGTAAAAAAATTGTTCTCCTCCATGAAGTTCCGGACAATTATTGTAGTCCCAACGAGAGAATAATCAGATTTCACGTATCATGACTGATGACTTGAGCATATCCGTGCTGAACCTCAATTTTCTCTCCAAGCGCCCTATAGCCTAGACGATAGACGTCGCCTGAGAGGTTCCGAATCGTAACGTACCAATTCCCTTTCATTTTAAGTTCTGGGGGAACATTGGTTGGTGAACTAATTATTCTCTGGTGGAATAGTTATATTTATTAATATAACATAACTAAAATTATTTGTAACAAAATACTTATATATGCTCTATATATATAATGCATATTAAAATCCTTCTTCTTGACATGTATTATACTTATTATGGAACTATAAAATGTTTACCTACATTTTCCATGGTATAAACGTTTTTTTTACATTACCATATTAATGATATGCATAGTAACTTATTATGTAAAAATCATATAAAAATTGACAACAATGTTTTGGTTTTTGGTTTTTTAATAATACATAATACTAAACAAATAAAGTACAATACAATACAGGTACGAAAAAAACATAAAATGGTTTACATTAATAAACACATTGTTGATCGTTTAATATGAGTTAATGTTGGGAAGATTAAAGTGTTTAAACGATCTATATGAAAGGAACGTTAGTTACAATTTATAAATATTGCTACGAAATATTTATTCGTTGGTTATTGATAATTGATATAGTAGGCAATAACAGAGATTAAATAACATATTATAGTGTGGTTTAATCTATGGTAATAATTAGGCAACTAAATATTATTACGATCTATACATTTATTTATGGCGATTATTTTACTTTTAAACCTATAGACTTGTCTGTATTCATTTAATATTTTAATGACAATAGTATATTATTATATTGATGTATTAATATGTCATACGCGTACATGAAGAAGGAACTCATTTGACAAGTAATAATACAATTTGCTTTGGTAGCTATTTAARTCACACAAGTAGATCAAATTCGCTTTCATCTAGATCATATATAACAAAATATAGATCATCGTCGTCGTGATCGATAAAACAATAATTTCAACTTAGAGGAAAAACAAATAATAATAACATATTAAAAACATTACATTATTTWACAACAAAACTAATATTATTATTATTTATTAATTATTTGAATATATATTATAAATACAATTCTTGGCGCTCTATGCCCAACTTTTTCGACGTCCTTGTTGAGCAATAGAGATTTGATTCAAAATATAAGCCCAAATATTCCGTTTGACTAAAATATTTTCTTTTGGAACAATAATTCTATGGTAAATATTCATCAGTAAGTAGGCAAACGAGATTAATATAACATACCTACCACCGAACGTGTTTTTTGTTGATACAATATTATATCAACGATTAGATAGTGTTTAGCGAATGTTACGATTATATTCTGTTTTTAGACTGTGAGAACCTGAATATCTGCTGGTTTACATGATTTGTAAAATGGCATTAATATAAATCAATTTAATTTATCAAGTTTAATGTTTAACAATTAAAATAATATGTTAATCATGTAAATATAATTTTAGAATAATTTAACAAATAATACTATTCTAAATTATTTTGTAAAATCGTTTAAAAATTGGTATTTTTTAAATGAATAAACAATAATTCGGTGTTTTAGTAGTATAAGTAATTAAAACACATAATAATTTGTTATGCTAATATTGCATAATTATGGATATTCTTTAACACATGTTTATCATTTATCAATAACTCCCGTGCTTTAGTAGTTTGTTTAAAGTTTGAAACTCATTTCAAAAGCGTGACAACAACAGGAAAATTAAATAATATATTATGTAGAAAATAAAAAACAGGCATTGGTAAAACATGTAGGTACTGTGAAAAATTTAAAACCACAATCTCCATGCATAAGATATAAGATATCAAATAATCGAATCATCTAACTATCTAAGACGTGTTTACGTGTCTAAGATAGTATGATAATGGCTAGAATTTCAAATTTAAACTAGCTCAAAACAAATTTTATTTTTTTTAAATACGTGAGAAAATATTTCTAAAAACTACTCTTGCCCAGATCTACAAAATGTTTCTAAATATAACTATCTTTAACTTTCGATTATTGATTTTCAAAATCAAAACTGCAAGATTTTTCAATTTTTGGTTTAAACCGTTTAGAATAATAATGAACGGTCGTAAACAAYTAATTGAATACTTTTGTTAAAATAATGCAGTCAATCAGCATATAAATCATTAGTAATTATACATTTAAATGTATTCGCCGTCAGTTGATCACTACCTATGCGATTGCAATAGTTTTTATTATATAAGATAGTCATCTTAAATAACCATTARTCATTATTTATATAACTAGTTATTGCAGACAACTGTATGGATAAAAAACTTTATTTTCACAATCGTTATTCGTTTTAGAATGTCAATAGTAGGCGTATATATAAATATATATATATTATATATATACTTAAGACCAAAGTGAATTCGCAATATGTCGAAATACCCAACTACCAATTCAAACTATTTATGTTTCAGCTATGGATTAATGTGATACAATCTTTATTATTAGGGGTGAATCAATGTGCAGGTACACGTAAACTGAGAATAGAAAATACATTTTTATTAATATTTAAATGTCACATATGATAGTATAATAGGTACGTTTGTCACTTATAAAAATTATTAGATTCATAATTATTATTTTCTACCCTATTGAAAATAATACTATTAACAAGAATAATAATACGAAGAACAAATCAACCTTTAATTTTGTCTCAAAACGTGCTTCTGGTTTTATATAAATACTTTTATTAAGATACGTGTGTTAAGGAAATTTAATATTATTGATGGTTAACATTTTACTACTAAAATAGAAACGTATAACACTATAACATACAATCACATAAGTTTGTTTTTATGTGTTCCATATATATACCATAACGTAAGCATTTATTTTATAATATTATATAGCAAGTCGCAAGTGTTATAGGTTTGAATACCTACCGATCGAAATAACGGCATAAACAATAATACTTAGTCTTAATATATAATAGGTAGAGCCTTAAATATAGTATATATAGTTGACCTTGAAAATTAAATAATAAGACGATGAAAAAATCTATCTAAGCGTTTGACTCTTTAAGATCGTGAAGTTTGGCCAGCTGTCCGGGTTCGAGCTCCGAAGGTAAACCCGTGTCGGCATGATGATCGGTCTCAAGCAACTTCAGATCATCTTCGGATTCTTCCGGTATTGTGGCCGGGAAGTAATCACTATCCACGCTCATATGGTGCTCCTCTTCCGATTTTGATTCCGATTGGACCTCCTCGCTAGCTGATTCAGCTACGGTCTCAACCGTAGACGATTCTTGACCAAACGGCTTTTCCGGTTCTTCCATCATTGGCGTGGCAGCAGTGATTACGATTTGAGCGACGCCCAACCCATCGGACGCAGGTGCTGGTGGTGGGGGAGCGTTAGGAGGTCCTGAACAGTCGTCCTATAAAATAATGTAAAAGAAATATTATTAAGCACCATCACGATATTGGAATCCATTTTTCCTAACAAAAAGTTTTCCAGCATCTAAAGTGGCTGTAAGTAGTTGTATAACAGTTTACATTTTGGCCATCTGTTTCCCCAAAAAATTCATATTGACAGAAAGGTTAACCTTAATATAATATAGTCAGCTTCCAATAACAATCTTTAGGATTTGTATAAAATATAATAAATAATACATAATTGCTTACAATTTATGTCCAATACAATAGGTTTAGTCATATTTTTTTATTGATCGGCAGGAATGGAGAAATCTTAGTTTATCACAAACCCTGTTTGTGAAGTCTTAATTACGCCTATGTGACAAATTAGGTCTGATGGMATTGACTGCGATATAAAATGCAGGTTATAGGATATAAATAAAAGTAGCGAAATCGACTTAAACGTCGAGGATAGCACGACTAATAAACTAATTTAAAGTAGTTTTTAAACCATCAAAATATTAGAATTTTTAAACTTTAATAGATGTGCTATAACTACTTAGTAAACGATTTTAATAGTGGAAGAATAGTTTTTCGTATTTTCTACATTAAAAGTCTTGGAAGTACATCAGTTATTTTTGATGGTGTGCTAAACATAGAAAGTCGTACGAACAACAAAGATTGCAATCGAACAATTATGTACCATAAATATAAATAAAGAAGAATAGGTGTTTAATATTTTGTTCTCTATATTGTGATAATAACTACTGAGTTTGTATTAATAATATTACCTCGTTTTCTATAAACAGTTGTGGTACACCGGGCACTGTCCGTTATAATTACATAAAACAGAATTCATGAATAATTATTAACACAATGTTTATATAAGTATGTTAATTTTATATAATAAATACTCACCGTTTACCGGTACTGTATCATTACCTTCCTCCGTAAACTGAGTGTCATACTGTTCTTGTTGATTTTGAGTTATGACCATTGAAAATTCATTTGATTTGGATGGTACTAAAATAAAAAATCGAAATATGTAAACCTAAGTTAATTATATATATATACTTGTGTTGGAAGAAGAGAGTTACATATTACAAATAATTAATTATGTTTATAGTGTAAAAGAAAAAAAKAATTTTAATATTAAAAAATTATAAATTACTTAACACTAAAATATAAATAGATAAATTAATAGTAGAATATGTAAATATATAATATTTCTTAACAGCTGAAGTTATAGTTCCWGCAGAAGGCAATTATTAAAACGGTTATTTTGTAATTACCTAGTTTTATGAAATAAAACTAAGATCTTATAGTTAAGTTCTTAATAATCAATGAATTTTCGGCCAATATTTTTATTAGTATAATTTACTAAAATATTATGTTCTATTACGTTTTGAATATATATTATTACTCACCAAAAACTTTTTCCTTRCCTATAAATATATGTAATTACAATCTTTTTAGAGTACATTAACAGGTAGTACGCCAAATCCTTTATAATTTAGTTTAATTGATCCATTTAACAACATTTAACATAACCATTTGAGTTCTATATTTTAAATAACTCGAAAACCATTTAAAACTTTGATTGTTTATCCCACATGTATTTTTTAATACAACAATATGATCAGCAATATCAAATACTTTAGCAAAAACCACAAGATTTTCATTAAGAGTTTATTTCTTTAACTTTAAAAGTAATTTCATTATTGCCACGTGAGGAACATAATGGCTCAGAAATCATCCATTTTTCAATCATCTTTAATAGGTACCATTTGTTTTATCTTCATGTGAGTCTACGGTAAAAATATTATTTAAAAAGACTAATTGATTAATACAATCAATTTTCAACTTTTAAATTAATTTTTCCCACCTTTTTAATGTTAACGTCTTAGTATATTTATTCATATTTTACATTATACAAATATACAATGCACTTTGATGTCATTCTATTTTGTCCTTTAATAAAAATACTTCCCAACTACCCACGTATTTTTAGCCAAAAACTCTCATTTAGTTCATAATTATTTTTAAACTTTTATTTTTTAAATTGACTTCCATTGACGTGTTGTTAATCTTTCACGCGTGCTACTTACCTTCTGGAGCAAAACTTCCAGGAGGTCCATGATCACCAATTGGCGTAGGTTGGGTGACAATCACTTGAGTTGGAAACAAATGTGTAGGATGTAATTCGGGTGGCGTAAATATTGGTGGTGGCGGCGGTGGTGGACCACTTGTTACAAACTCTGGATGATCTTCGTTAGAAAAATCACTATCTCCATTTTCAGATGTTGGTGTAGGTACTAGTTCACCGTTCTCGTAACATTCTTTTACTAGGCACGACGGGAAATGTCCCATTTTGCTTCCCAACTCACCTACCCACCACCCATCATCTATATGTGTAGTCTTGTCGACCACTTTAATTATTTGGCCTTCTTTCATACCTAGTTCTTCTGGATCATTTCCGTCATAATCAAATAAGGCTATACAATACGACGGAACCTCTATGATACCTGAAAAATTAGAAAAATTATTTTCAAATAAACACGTATAATACATCTGATCGATTGATTGGGAAGAGTAATTGCATAGTAAATTTGTAAGTGACAAAAACACATTTATATACTTAAATTATTCATTTAAACATCATAATTATATTACCTCCGTCTTTCTTTTCCCACACAGTAGTGATGCTTTTTTCTGATGATTGTTCTTCAGCTTCAACGTCTTCGTCAGACTGACAGTTCTGTGATTGATTGGCTGCTTCGTCATTGACCATATAGTCTACCGAGGAGAAGCTAATCTGCGATCTAAGTTGGTAGGTGGTAGGGGTGTCGTGTGTTTCTGGTTCACACGTTTCTTGTTCGATATCCAAATAATTAGATGGTACATATCCTACTTCACCTTTATAATTTCTGGCTTTTGACCAACCGTAATTATCACTGTCCACGCTAAACACTTCAAGCTGTTCATTTTCAACAATGCTTAACTCATCAGGGTGTTGACCCTAAAAAATTTGCATAAAAATTTTTTAATAATTTAATATTTTTTTAATGAATTTATGATTATAATAACGAATAAAATAGAAGTAATACAAWTGTATACGAATTTTAACAGTAMAAGTAGTATTTTAAATTTTTGACGTATTTGTATATACTCGTAGCTTTTATTCTTCTAGGCTCTGTGATTATAATATTCAATAAGTATTTACTTAATAGTGTATCAGTGGTAAATATGGTAAATACTGCAATTTTTGTGGACTAATATGGTTGAATATCAATACTAATATTATATATTTCTGATTTTTTTTCCATGTTTATATTTTTTGATAAAATTTTACATAGCTTATTAAGTTTACTTCTATTATCTACTGTAAGTTTTACATTGTAGTTTATTTTTATGCTGTACTATTATCAAAATGTTTTAAAGGGTTCTTACCCGTTTATTAATAATAATAATATCTAGGAGGATGTTTTGGAAAATGCTAAAAACTGGCAACATTTCCAGTGATGGCCAATAAAACCATTACATCACATCATTATTAGTTTTGAAAACATATTTAAAATTAAAATTTAGTATTCAAACAAATTTGAATCGATGTGTTAAAACATTTCGTGATTTATTAAAATTAAATATTAAATCTGTAAACACATACGTATTTACAACGGTTTCAAAGACTAAAGGATCAAATATTCAAATGAAAATAAACGGTACAAATATAAAAAGCAAAAACATAACCCATAAGTGTTTGTAAGTGTTGCTTGTCAAATTAACTTTAAGTGTTTATTCTATTCTAATATTTGTAATCAAACGTGCGTTATTTAGACACTATACAAACACAATTTATTGTATTAAAAAGTTTAACCTAATCATTAAAAAAGTTATTGATAAATTCCTGACTTTATTTTACTTACAGTATAACTGTATAACGCAGTACATTTATATACAGGTCCTTCAGGCTCTTCTAGAGCAGTTTGGGGGTACATAGTTTTTTCTTCAGTGTCACGGGTTTCTTCCCAATTTACTTGAGTCGGATCGTCCCAACCAGCTGTTAATTGTTCAATACGTTGACGTTCTTTTTCCACAAGTGCTAAAATATAAATAACAACATTAATATGTGGTAATCACCACAAGCAAAACTAAAAATCTGGTTTTTAAAATATATGATATATATGGATAATTCTAGTGTTTAGATGTGATATGTAATAATAAATTACATATAACCAGTCGTATAAAATAATTTATGATATCGATAAATACCCCAATCTTTATCAATTTCCGCCGAATCTGGTCGATCTTCTTCATCTTGAGATGACGACTGTGGCTGATCGGAAGGTACTGGACTGTCTGAAGGTCCGTCTCCGTAATCCTCACTGTCGTAGTCAGAAGTCATTGCACTTGTTGTACCTCCATCAATTGGTAATGAAGATGTACTATTTGATCGTTGAAGTTCGGCATTTATATCGCCCATGTCAGCTAGCCATTCTTCTACGTTAACTATGATACAATACAATTTTTACAAAAATATTCTATTTCAATTTTTTATATATAATACATAATCTAAAATAAAAGACAAAAAAAAATGTAAAACTCAATAATCCCTTGGTTAAAATCTCCCATAAATAAAAAATATAATATATGTACCATTTCCATCTCCATTTCTCAAACACTCGATACGAGATTCAGCTTTAGCTTTGGCTATCTGAAAAAKAATAAAATAAACAACAACAAAATTAATTATTTTGTCATATCGGTCAAAAAACAAGGGAATCGCTTCTGTTGTGTAAAAGATTTCACCGTTTTAAGTATACCTAATGATTGAGATGGATGTGTACTGTGTAAAATATGAATTCAAAAAAAAATCATTGAGCCTAAACTAAAAAACAATTCTGAGTGAAGGAAATTACGAGTAGTAGGATTTGGAGCAACAACTATTCTTAAGAATAGCTCATCTTATATTATACATGAATTATTATTTTATTTACTAAATATCTTGAATGACATCAAAATAAATCAAATTTATTTATATACCATTATAATAAATCTCTAATTAAATAAATTTAATATTAATCTGACACTCAAATAAGTACCATTGGTTGGCGTTTTGTTTTAAATTTGTATTCATCAATGCTTGAAACAACTTGTTAAAAATTATTAGCGCTAGTTTGATATTATACATACCTATGAGAAATGAAAATGAAACTAATATTAAGATAACGTCGAAAATCGCATACCTCGGCATTATATTGTTATAATAGTAGACGTTTTGTAATTTGTTTACTCTGTCCTGAAGTACAATATTAGTTATCACGCGTTTTATATGCAAACTTGGTATTTACATGTCAATAAAAATATTTTTGAACCTTATGTCATTAGGCTTACTTCAGATCTCCGAATGCTGTTTTTCAACGATTCTATTTTAGTTTCCAAATCAGCTCCATTTGGATCATTTGGGTCATTCTATAATAAATAAAAAATATACATATAAATATTCATAAATATATTATATAATACATCTATAACGACTCCTAAAGAACGCTATAATGATTCGTTATAACTAACATTTATTATTTTTAATTCAAGCATTTTAATGTAACATTTTACACTCGTTACACGTAAGAGCCACACTTTGGTACATTCACCGTAGATTCCAAACGGTTTTACCACCATAGTTTTTAACTTACCATCTAAATGGCCCTTTTTAAATCGACTTAGCCATACTACGTGATATTACCGCATCCACTGCCACTTAAAATGGCTGAGTTGATTTAAAAAATAAAAAGCTGTTTAGACGACAACATAAGAACCACGGCGGGAAAACTTTTCAAGTTCTAAGACRAAAAAATCGCAGTATTGCCAGGCCCTCTGTACTTAATTACATCAATTAATATCATACACGAAACACCCAAAACACTAAAATATCATTACAGATATTATTTCAATGATGAAGAATAATTGACTATTTAAAAGACACCTAAAAGTAGGTAATTATAACGATAATATGAGACCAATACATGCCATAATAATACGATCGTTCTATAGATTTTGTCGTTATGCGTCCAATGTCATAAACAGTCATTTTATACAAACAAATAAACTCCGAAAGGACATTGAAATTAATTTCATTTTACCCAATATGTGGTTAGGTACGACTGATGTCGTTCTGTATAAAACCGTCCGTGCATATTATATGTAGTATTATTAAAATAGGCTTAGAATGACTGAACATTTAATCTCTCAATGATTCCTTTTAAATAAACTATTTCTTTAATAATTAATAATAACTAATAGCTTATAAATTATGTAATGTTTATACAAGTTAATGTATTTTTAGGTAGTAGGTACACTGCAGTAAACTAATAAATCACGTAGTCGATAAATGAATTATTCATAGTTGCTAGAGTTCACAAAATGGATATTTTTTTTCCAACATATAAATTTAGATGGAAACTTTTGAACGCGTTTAAGATGTTATGTAATGTCATATTATACACCTTACCTAATAAAAATGTTTCGATCAATAAAACAGTCTTATTGCATAACAAACGTAATTAGTAATCACATAATAAATCAATGCACGTTATGTTATAATTAATTTTACCTTTTGTCCAGAGTCCCTGAGAGCTTGGAAGACCTGTAGTTTTCTAGTGTTTTCTTTGATGTTATTTGTCTCTCTAATTATTCGTGTAGCCCACCTTTTTGCTTCTTGGCTGAGTATAGTCACCACTCCACCATGATCTGCTGTAATGTGATCTATAGTGTCACCGTCACAAGGTTCGAATTGGTATTGAACATGTTGCTTCAACACAGGATAGAAGAGGTATACACATTGCATGTTGTACTCTCGACTCAACTAAACATTTTTATTAAAGAATTTTACGTTTTATTAAAATGAAATGTATAGTGTATACTATATGATGTATTKTTTGTGAACAGAATCTACATTTTATATTGTAAAATTACTTACTTGTTGCGCTTGGTCTCTGACTTTCTTAAACGAATTATGAACAACAGTACACGTAAGAAGCTCGATTTTACTTAGTAACGCCAAATATTCTTGTACTTTTTCATAAACATTGTGTTCCATGGTCTATATTCAGTTAAATCAAAAGATTATTATTGACAATAACTTATATCAAATCAAATAATAATTAAGTAAAATAAATATTWAAAAAAAACAATAAGTTCATTAGATAATAGTAGATAATATTAAGTAAACTTCTGTACCTATTATAACTAGTCTTTTTCGTAAAAAAAAAATAATTAAAATAAGATTGTTAGCAATTCAAATTAGTTTTGCTATGGACTAGCGTCCCGCATTGCTTAGTTCACGGTCAACTAGGTAATAATTATGTAKACACCCCCTGAGAGGGTAACAATTCCAAGGGAGTGGCCATGGATTATTAAAATAATAAGAGACTACTAAAGGTAAAAGTTAGGCGTGGACACCAAATAACATTATGTAAACAATGGGGGATTAACTGAACATTTATGGAAACAGATAGATAGGCGTTCCATGTCCTCAGGACGTTAGACACGACTA